CGTGGGGGCGGAGAGCCAGGTCACACCAGGTCGCACCAAGGGTGGCGAAGATACCCAGAGCTCGACCGTAGTTGTTGCTGCCTTTAGGCTGATTCTTGGGATTCGTGCCCGTTTTCGGCCTCGGGGGGCCCTCGCCAGGCCCTGAGACAGTAATCGCATACTCAGGATGAAAAGCCAGTCCCGGGATTCGGTAACGCATCATGGTGGCCTGGTATACCCTCTGAATTTCGCACTTCGCGTCGATTAGCGCCTGTGCGTGCATGAGATCGCGCCGACTTGGCGTCGGCGTCGATTCAGCGCCGATTGGCGTCGACTTAGCGTCGACCAGGGTTCGATTCAGCCGACAGGATGGTCTCTGGAGGCTCCCACGAGTTGCCACGGAGCCGGGAGTGGGCCGAGACCTCTGGGGGACCGCGTGCTGTGCTGCGGCAGCACGACACCGAATCCCAGCGCAGACACCTCTTGGAGCCGTCTCGGAGCTCTCTTGGGACCCAGGGGGGGGTCCCGTCTTGGGGCCCTCTGGGGGCCTTGGGGGTCCTCTTGGAGGCCACCGATAAAGTAAGGAGGGGTCTTATTGATTACTTGGCATTGCTCGGACATGTGCGTTTTTTTCCTCGGCGAGGGCCATCGAGGAGCATCCTTGATCATTTGGCGAAAAAAAAACACGCACGAAACCGAAAAAAACACAGGGAATGGACGTCCGAGCGATGGCGAGTGGCTGGGCCGGAGAGGCGCCCTGCTCTCCAGGGCGGCGGCGCCAGGGCACGAAGGTGCGATCGCGCGCCGCGCCTCCTGCGGGGCGGAGATTGCGCGGAAGCAGGCGGCAAGCGGACAGAGCGATGGTACTGATGATCATGATGCGGATGTTGATGATGCTGATGATGCTGATGTTGATGATGCTGATGATGCTGCTGATGATGCTGCTGATGATGCTGATGCTGATGCTGATGCTGCTGATGATGATGCTGATGCGGATGCTGATGATGATGATGATGATGATGCTGCTGATGAGGATGATGATGATGATGATGATGATGATGATGATGATGATGATGATGATGATGATTATGCTGATGGTGATGATGCTGATGATGATGTTGCTGCTGATGCTGCTGATGATGATGGTGATGATGATGTTGCTGCTGATGGTGATGTGGACAGAGCAGGGGCGACAACCCGCAGCGCTGCCTGCCCGCTCTGCGGGGGCAGCGCTGCCGGCGTCGCCGCGGACGTCGCCCTACTCGGATCCGGGCGTCGCCTGCCCGACAGCGGCCTGCGCAATGTGCTACACACCGTTGTGCTGTGGAACAGCATGATCTGATCGCCCCCAACTCTCTTGCGTGCCAAGGAGCAGCCAGACAGCCTGCCTGACACGACAAGTTGGGAGGCACCCAGACAGGGGAACGAACAATGACATAAGCATAACAGCTCGGGGGTCCGCGCGGATTTCTCGGATCGGCGTTTGACCCCCCTCCCTGGCGCGCGGAGCGTTCCACGGGCGGCGCCGGAGGCGCCGCCAGGGGGCCCCATCACCGATCCAAGAAATCCGCGCAGACCTCGAGTGTTTATATTCATGCCATGTTTCGTTCCCCTACCAGCGGTGTGGGATTCCTCTCGCTCCCTACCAGCGCGAGGTCCCTGGGACCCAGCCCGGAGCGCGCTCTCGGCTGGGACCTCGATGCGAGGTCCCAGCCGTGGCGGCGAGCCGCCCCTAGGAGGCAACACATGCGTATGTGTGCGTGTGCATACATACATACATACATACATATATATACACATATACACACACGTCGGTCGTTGAAAGTAGATAGACGCCCTCCTACCTCATATTTCTACCTACTTGTTTTCTGACCGACGGGTGTGTATATGTATATATATATGTGTATGTATAGGTGTGTGTGTGTGTTCGCGTGTGTACGTCTCAATGTGGGCACTGTATATCCACATCCAGTGCGTCTCGGACTTTGTTCGAAGGGGCACCACAGGGCCAAGGCGAATTGGATATGGATAAGCATCGAGCCTCTAGAGGGGCCAGAGTGTCTTCCGTATCCAGTGCGCCTCGGCGTTTTGGGGAGGGGAGCCCGAGATCCCAAGCTGCCGTAGCCCTGGACACAAGTCTTGCCCGCATCTCTTAGAGTCTGCACACAGCACGGTCACCAGCATCGCCAGAGCCAGCCCCATCCCTGCGGTGACAGGGCAAGCTTGCTTTCCCAGCCGACCCCCCTCCAAGTCGGAGGGAGGAGCGGCGACACCGACACACCGACACCACCAGCGGGCCCACCTCCATCGAGGAGGTCCACGATGCTTCCCCGAGCTGGAGGCTGGGGATGTCTCGAGCGAGAGGGGGGGGCCACACCACCAGGGAGACCCCCCTTGCCTTCTCGCATCTCCTCGCCCTGGTGGTCTTAGTGTTGCCTTTCCTTGTTCCTAGGTGACAGGGCAAGCTTGCTTTCCCAACCGACCCCCCTTCCTTATTGGGGGGGGGGCATCTATCGGCCCGTGGAGCGAGGGCATCCCCCAAGTCGGGGGTGGGGATCGGTTCGCTCGCCCTGGGGGCGGCCCAAAGGGAGGGGCGAGGACCGTGTGGACTTCCCAGAATGTATGGCCACTTCCTCTGCTCTGTCATATGATCGTTATTCGTAGCATTCGTCTTATTATTCTTATTGCTATTCCTCGTCTTCTTCTCATGCCTCTTCTTCCTCTTCCTCTTTCTAAGCGTCCCTTGGCCCCCCATCGTGCCCACGATGCTCTGAATCCCGCCCCCCCTGCCAACAGAGGCGGCTGCGCCGAGGAGGGCCTCCTCGGTGCAGCCGCCTCTGTCCAGAGAGCGCGAGTCCTGACGGGCCACGGGCTCCGAGGGCAACGGGCCCCGGACCCCGTGGGGGGCCTGCCCTCGGCGGCGGGTCAGCTTGCCCCGCGCACGCCAGTGCAGCACCCGCGCATCAAGACGCAACGGCGCGCTCGATGGTTGGGTGTCTGATTGCAGCGACAGGCGCCGGTTTTTGTTACGGACGTCTCGGGGCATCGTGGTGCGCGCGCGGCTCACAGCCGCCCATTTGTGGTGGCGCTTGTCCCAATTGATAACAAGATGCGTTCCCTCGCCATCATCCTGGCAACCAATGCGTCCGGGCATGCCCTGAGGAACGACGTTGCAGCGTCGCGCCCCCAGGGGGCCGCAGCGGCCACGTTGGGGACGGTTCTGGAGGGCATGTGATGTGCTCGAGAGCGTTGTGGGCCTGCCGCCACTTCGGCTAGGTACGGGGACCTGCCTGAAACCACCGAAACATACCCGGACCCAGCTGGGGTGGAGCTGCGACACCCCGGCTGGGTACGGGTATGTTTTTGTTTTTTGTTGGGGGCAACCGTACCAAGCTGGGGTGATCCGCGGACGGCCGTCCAAGGGGGGCGGCCACTGGCGACCTCGCCCAGCGCTCAGAGCCGCGATGTCTCTGCATCGATAAATTCGCGATTGGGTGGTTGTCGCGCCGTGACGTTCGCGCCAGAGTTGTTCGCATGCACCCCCGAGTGCGCGTTGATTCCTCAACGCCAGGATATGTGTGTCTGGGGGCGCGCCTCCTATGCAGCTGGTCTACATCTACAGCAACCAACGCGGGGTCGGCCACTCCGCCGATTCGAGCGCACGCGCGATCGGTGCTAACGTGCGCCCCGAGAAGACAGCGGTCTGCAATGCTCGATCGTCCGTCTCTTCGACACTTGTGCAGCCGCCGTCAGCTGCGACGAACCGCCCCCCCCGGACCCTTGCCACCCTGTGTAGGTAAGGGTACGGGTACCTTTCGCGCTCGAGAGCAGGGGGGGGTAAACGATAGAGAGGGAGAGGGCCTCCTCGGAAGCCCTCGCGCCTCGCGAGCCAGCTTCCCGGTTTGCCTTTCGGGCAGGGCGCGGACAGCTTCTCGGAAGGCCCGGGGGAATGTCCGAACCTTCTGGGGAGGCCTCCTCCTGCTCACGTCGCCCCCCCTTCCCGCTCGCTGGCACTTGGCATCGCTCGGACGTGTGCATGTTTCTCCATCGGCGAGGACCGTCGAGGAACATCCTTGATCATGTGGCGAAACAACCACACCCGAAACCGAACAAAAAACACCAGGGAATGGACGTCCTGAGCGATGCCCGGGGCACGGAAGCGGGGAGGTGAAGTGTTCTTCGTCCCAGGCGATGGCGCCCGTTGGGGAACCCACGCGAAGGGCGTATGGCGCCCGGCCGCGCACACGAACACGCCCCCCCCCCCACCCCCCCCGAGTCCGCGAGGCCAGCCTCCGGGGTGCCCTGGGTTCCCTGGGGTTCGATGATCGGGGGCCCCCAAACGGGGTGGTGACCTCACCGTGTGATGAGTCGGTGGGGATTTGGGGTCACCACACGGTTTTGGGACTTGGGTCGTTATCCGAGGATGTCTCGGGCGACTGGAGCCTCCAGGGTCCCAAAACCGTGTGGTGACGGACCGTGCGATGAGGTCTCTTGGGGTTCCGAGGTCACCGCACGGTCTGTCACCGCACGGTTTTGGGATCCCCAAGATGGTTTCGCTATGGGGAGCGTGACGCTCCCACACCGAAAAGCAATGGACGCCCCGGGGTCTCGGGTCTGGGTTTCTGGTGGAATTATTCCTGTGGTCGGACCCTCCCTGCTGGGGATCGGTGGACTACCGCTGTTTTAGCCCAAACATTGATTTGTATATCGAGTCGGCGAAAAAACATAGAACGGGACGTATAATTATGAACATGTTGTGCATGTTTCTTAGATTCGACTGGAATTCCAAGTTTGGGGTACATCAACTCTGCAGTCGATCTCCTACTCGAGGTCCGATTTGTCAGGAGTCGGTTTCTGACAGTCACGGGCCCCTGGGGGGCTTCAGGAAGCCCAAACGGGCGAAACACCTCGGGACCTGGTTCCCTCTGGACCCGCTTTTCTTTCATGGCGATCGCCCTTCCTTTCTCCGACGACGGCGTCGGCGACGACCGCGATGGAGACCCCTGGCTCGCCCCCTCGAGGACGAGAAGTGGACCGTGCGCATGGAGGAGGCCCGGAGGCGCGAGGCGGACAGGCAGAAGGAGGGGTCCCTCCCAGGGGTCAGGATGCAATTTCTTGAAGTTGCATCGGCTCTAGTGTCTATATATATATATATACCTATACGACCACCCTTCGGGTCATAAGGAGGTTCGGGGGGGAGGAACCAACGTCTCACTCGATCGGTCTCACTATCGATCTCACTATCGATCTCAGTATCGGTCTCGCTCGATCGATCTCCCTCGATCGATCTCACAATCGATCTCACTCGATCTATCTCACAATTGATTTGACTATCGATCTCACAATCGAATTCACAATCGATATCACATTCGGTCTCACTATCGATTTCACGATCGATATCACAACCGCTCTCATAATCAATGTCATCATCATCATCAACAACAACATCAACATCAACATCATCATCACCAACAGCATCATAATCGGGACACCGTCCTCATCATCATCACCAACAGCATCATCATCACGGTCATCAATATCATCGGGACACTACCATCATCATCACAATCAGCATCATCATCAACATCATCATCATCATCAGCAGCATCGGGACACAGTCATCGTCATCATCATCATCAGCAGCATCATCATCGGGACACCATCATGATCACCATCGTTAGCATCATCATCATCATCATCATCATCATCATCATCGGAACACCATCATCAGCATCTCATCATCATCATCGACATCATCATCATCATCAGCATCATCAACATCATCATCAGCATCATCATCATCGTCGTCATCATCGGGGCACCATCATTATTAACAACATCAGCATCATCATCATCATCATCACCATCGGGACGTCATCATCATCAACATCATCACAATCACCATCAGAATAATCAGCATCATCATCGGGACGCCATAATCATCATCAACCTCATCATCATCAACATCTTCATCATCGGGACACAATCATAATCAGCATCACCAGCATGAACCTCATCATACTCATCACCATCGGGACACCATCATCGTCATCATCATGATCATCAAACTAATCATCATGATCATCATCATCCTCATCATCGGGACACCATCAGCATCATCA